ATATGAAAAGAGATGAAATTATCTTCAAAATCGAAGCTCTTTTAGAATGCTTGGATGAAAGTTTTCGGAAGAAATATAGCGGATTAAAATCTAAGAGGCGCGATGAATTATTAGCTATATTGGCAGAGGTAAGGTTTTTATTTGATTCAGATTCAGAACATAATAACTGTGATTAACTACAATTAGACGATAATGTTGAATTCGAATTTGAATCGAGAAAGTGCTTTTGCTTTTTACATTCAATTACTACTTATATGATAATAATTATTTTAATCCGGGGAGTTATTCAGGTCTTAAAGAAAAATTATTGTCGCAGCTGATGCTGAAAACGGCTGATGCTGAAATTCGGACCTATTTTGATATGAATTTTTAAAAAATTTTTAGGGTGTTTTTTCCCCGCTTTTTTTTTAAAGTTGAGTTAGTATTTAGGGTTAGAATTGATAATTAACGAGTATATGTGGATTTTAGCAGGGCTTATATTTTTAAATAGAGACCCCAAATTTCAGCATCAGCCGTTTTCAGCATCAGCTGCGACAATTATTTTTATATTTAATTCTGTAATTAGATGCATGTTATCTTTAAATTATATTTAAGTATTTAATCACATTTAATATTGATTTAAAAAAATACTGTATTCTTAAAAATTTTAATTTTTAATAAATGATTTTAACAAGAATATTCAGTACTAATAATTACGGCACGTTTGTAAAATACTCCAAAATTTTAAAATTTTGACCAACCAATTGCACATATTTTATTAATGTTACTGGCGGTCATTGAAGTTGTATATTCATATATATATGTAACGATAAATTTAGAATGGATTTCAGAGTTAATTTGTAAATAGGTGGGTGTCTGAAAAGCCCTATCTTTATTTTGAAATTTCGAATTTGAAAATGAAGTATGTGTTATCTGGAGATAAAATAAGCAAGCTTTTTTTTAATAAATAAGCCTACAAATAAAAATGAATAGGATTTATTGATCGCTGGTTATAAAATAAATACATCACTAATTTAATTTGAAATCAGAACCTGAACCTCTTAATGGGTTAAATTTGACAAACGCGCAACATGCCGTAACGGTAATGATCTATATATTGAGGGGTTTCAAAGTTAACAAAGTTCAGAAATAAGAGTCTAAACCAAGAACGATCATATAAGAAAATCAAATGGGAGTGCTGAAAACTTTTATTTTAGCATTTTGTACAGTAGACTTTAAAAATTCGTAGTTCAGTAGTTCAGTATAAATCGTTAGGGATAAAATTAATCCTCAATTTTAGCCAATCAGAATTCATGTTAATGATTATCGAGAAATTTCTGGAATAAACTGATCGTCACTTCGATACTATAATAGATGCGATCTTCATTGTCCATATTTGGTAATGTGCTCGACTGAATTAATAGTGACAGAACTAAAGCATATATATACTTACTTAACAATCCTAATATACTACCAAATTACTATATTTTTTTTATGTTATATAACTCAGATAATATTCCATTAAGATCCAAACTAAGTTTATCAACTACACAATCTTTTTATATTAAAGAGTATAACTAGTTACATATATATTTTTGGTATTTAATTTAAGTAGTTTGCTTACAACTAGAGTTGAAAGCATAAAAAATTTTTTGGACATATCCAAAAAAATATGCCTTAGTTTGAAATATGCCTTTTATATTGTATCTGAGATATATCTTTATATATAAATTATATAATATATATACTATAAATAAATTAGCATCAAGTTTATAATACATACAAGATCATATGACTTTGTACTACTGATTATTACATAATTATCAGTAATGTAAAGTTATATAATCTGATATACATTAATAGCTAATCAGCATTTTTTTTTTTATAATTTGGCAATCCTGCCACTTTTTATTTAAGATTAAACTAAATTAAAAAATTTATATTTTTTAATAGTAGCTATACTAATCTAACCAAAAAGTGACTTACTTATGCTTTCGTCAGATATGACTTGTCTTAGTGGACTTCAAGCCTCTTACTGAGTTTCTAACTTACTAGGGTTATCCTTTGATTATAGGCTAGTACTACATACTATATCAAAATTAACTTTCTTTTTTACAAAATGAAATACAAATACAAATACAAAAAATATAATAAAAAGGGAGAAAATACTACAGCATTGAGTTCTAGTCTATTTAAATTAACAAAACCAAATAAAACAAAAACAAAAAACAAAAAACAAAAGAAAACAAAACAAAGATAGCACTATTAAACCTATGCCAGATTGTAAAAATTATATAGTACTACAAATAAACTAGACTAAACTCTACACTAATTATTTATGTCTATATCTAGGATGTAAAAATATTAAAAACCATCCAGTCTTGAAGTAGAACTCCAAGATCGAAACTTTCAGTGCTATCTCAACTAGGTCAGCGGGTCTTCTGCAATGCTTCAAACATTATCACATTATCACGTTATCACTTTATCACATTATCTACCACTATTTATTCCAAAGAGACATATACACATGTACATGACTTTTCTTTTTCAGCAACTGTTACTGTATCGATTTTTTGTTGGGAGTACACTGTTTTTTTCACTTTTTGGTGAAAATTTCAAAAAGTGCAAAGAGTGGTGTTTGGTAGAAGGTTTTGGTTTACAGGTATCCTTAAACTTCAATGAAGAATGTGTTGAAAACTCACTTGTTGTTCTCCTTTAGACCAACTATAATCTAACTTCGTCGACAGAAGCAGTGCTTCTATTAAAATTTTTATACAAAAGCACCACCTTCTTGCCAGTTATCTTGTACAAAAATGCTTTTAACTTGCATGCCGAATATACAAAGGAGTCTGGGATAAGATGCAAAAGTCTTAACCTCTGTAAAAACCGTTATTGTATAGTTGTCTCGTCTACTTTTCTCTAACAAGTTTCTGTTTTCATTAGCTGTAAGTTTGGTACAAGTGATCGTTAAGGAGAGTTGTTGATTATATGTGAATATAATCACCTTATTATAATTCAAAAATAGTTTAAATAACTATATTTAATACACTAAGTAAAAATATTTATTATTATAAAAAACCTTATTTTAGCCTATCTTTAATTCTAATCCTAAATTTTAACTTTTTTTAATATTAATTCTAATTTTAATTTTAAATTTTGAATAAAAATTTATAATAAATTACAGATAGATAAAATTTATAATTTTAACCAGTAATTAAAGTTATTTTTTATAAAATTTTAGTCAATTATTTATTATAATGCTAGTTGCTTTTTATAAAAAAAAAATTGCTTTATAATAAAACATTATAAAATATTCAGAAATCTTTTTTTAAATAAAGTTTGTTTGCATCTGGTCTCTTAGCATGTTTGCATTTTTTTAATATATACTGATTAGTGTTGCTTACTGCGTGCAACTTTTTTATAGCGTGACTAGGATTGCAACTTATTGTCGTAGTAACATCGGTAATCTAGTAGTTATGACTTTTTTGTAATAATTATAACATAAATAAGCTAAAAAAAAATTAAGTTGCGCCTTTGCAGCAGGTAATACTAATCTAACATATCATAAATAATTGAGTTTGCACTATTTCCTTATTAATACATAGTTTTTATAACTGATAATTTTGTAAATTTTGCTTTTAGATATTTCTCATAAATTTCTGTTATTAAGATATTATAAACCATACTAGATATTATAAACCATACTATAATCCGCTGCTATCTATTTATTACAATTATTATTTGATATCTTTAAAATTATAAATTGTTTATTCACCTTTCACCTTAGACTCTAACTTTGAACTTTTGGGTAAGTGTTGTGCTCTATAATGGCTTGTTTTATTTTTGCAACAACACCTTAAATAAAAATAATAAAAATTACTGTTAAATTTAAAGAATTTAATGCAAAAAATTTTGTAAGAATTCTTACATAATCCATGAAATGTAATAACGTTTGGACCAGTGATTATTTTTCACTATGCGGACTGTGCATAGCACACAGAACCAAAATTTTGCACGCACATTTTTTTTGAATAGATGTGCAGATGCCACACAGTTTCAAAGAGTTGCTTGTAGTTTTTTTTATTTGCCGCACAGAAATAATTTTTAAATCGTATAGTCTCTGCATAGTAAATTCTAGTTGAAGAATTAATACTGGTTTTGGACGGTAATAAATACTTCATAATAGTTTAGATTAGATTTATTATTCTATAGTAGAATATTTAATTTTAATACAAACGATCATACCTAATTAATAAAATTTGATGGTTTTTTCATCTCTACTTACACAGACTCTAAGACACTTAAAAAAACAACTATTGACGCACTGTTTTTATATATTTTTTTAACACAATTTGATCAAAATTATTTGAGTTAATTAATATACCTAGCCAAATAATATTTTCAAGTTATTTTGCTTGATGGCTTAATTAACGATCTTGATAAAGGATGTACTATATAAAATAAATTTAACATTAATATAAATGAACCTAATTAAGAAAAAAAAATTTTTTTTTGAAAATCAAAAAAACTGGATTTTACTTAAATCGTTACAAAACAAAGAATACATATTAAAAATTCATATATTTTGAAACTGCATAAAATAAAATAAAAAAACCGGTAAAACTAGTAAAACTGATATTTTAGCTTTCAGGTAGAAGGTCATTAAACATACCAATAATGATTTTCTATCAAGATAATATCGATATCTAAAATCATTTAAATGAACCGCTATTTAATATCTTAAGATTGCAACAGTCATGAATAACAAATTTTAGTTGTACTATATGAATATTCATTCTTAGAAATAAATACAATAGATTGTTAGATTGTTGAATTAAGATAATAACTCTAAAACAGGATGTTAAGCATGCTGCAAACATTACCTGTTTCACAATTTTATGTTCATGATCCCTCTAAATAACACAATCAAACTGCTTAACCTTTTTTTTTACTTTTTTGTTCTCTTGATTAATTCATTTCACTTTAATTTTTACGTGTTTTTTTTTTCTATTTGCTCAAATATGGCTAATATCGGTAATGAACAAATAAAATGCCAACATTGCAAGCGTTGATATGCAAAAGAATGTTTTATTGGAATAAAAGGCAAAGTCGTTCAGTCATGTAACGGATGTCGAACATCAATTGGCAATGCGAACAAGACTAAATTAAAGGAAAAACAAAATGAAGAAGTTAAAAAATGTCAAACATTTGCTTATTCACAGGATGAACTTAGAGATCTTTTCTTAGAATTTTTGGAACCTTTTCAAGATTTTGATAGTACTAAGCCATGTACACAAGTTTTAGATTTTGAAATTCCAGTTTTTCTTGATTCTTTAACTGATTGTATTGAATCAAATAATGAGATTGAAAGTAATAGACTCATTGCTTACCAAATAGCGAACCTTATATTAAAAATAGACGGATACAGCTATATATATCATAAGCGTAATGAGTTGCAAGATGGTGTGTCCTTAACTTTTTATTGCAATTGCAAGCTTGAAAGGAAACAAAAAAGGGCTCAAGTTGAAGATATTGACAAACAAAGGAATACGTAACCTTTATTGATTCGATATGAGTGTGAAGGCTCAATTCTTATCACTATTAAATGATCATATAGGTTAGTTTATATTTGTGCGCATCATTTAATGCACCAACGACCTCGATCATTTGCTATAGCACCTGAAATTAAAGAATATATTCAGCAAAACAAGCTCCTTACGGTTCCTCAAATCTATCGC